CAGACACCGCTGAGCCCCGTGGGTGAGCAGCAGTGTCCCTGGGGTTGCTGGGAGTGAGACCCAGTGACTAGTCCCAGCCTGAGGAGAGATTAAGTGCAAAGGCTGTTCTGCTATAAAACGGGGTGGGCTCCCCTTCTTGCCCCCAGAGAGGTGGAGTCCACACTGGGAGTGGCAGGGTCTGAATTAGGTGAGAGCAATGCCAGTCCTGACGCTTTTGAGGCTCACATCAACTCCCCCTACACTGAAAAGGTTCCGTCCGTCCCCTGCAGGGCTGTGTGATAGGAAGAGCTCTGAGTCATAGGCCTGGATCTGGTCCCAGTTTGTGTTTATTAGCTGTGGTCTCTGGGCGCATTTCTCCCCTGCCCTGCTGCGGTGGGCTGCTCCCACCCCTGGGCAGCCCTGCGCGCCCTGCCCCATCATGAGTAAGGAGGCCCAGGTGTGTAGGGTCTGCTCGGGATCCGATGTTCCTGCATGTCCCTCTCAGCACCCGCCTTGGCGACGTTTGGGTGTGGGCAGATGTAGGATGAGCTTTTGTTTTTCCCGCTACCTCAAGCTATCTTATTATTATTATTCTCATGCTCCTTTTCTTGTCTTTTAACAGAGGACTTTGCCATTGAGTTTAACAAAATTTAAAAACAGCAGCCAGAAAAGTTCCTCTCTCCTGTCTTGCAAATCCTATCTGTCTGCTGGCGCAGTGGGGGGCCAGCTTGGGTGAGTCCATCTGCCCTGCCACGACCCACCTTTCTCCTGTGTCACACTGACAGGCTGGAGGGAGGGGTGGGCCCTGTTTCCAGGGATGGCCACCAGCACCCTGCAAATCTTACACAGCCAACCCAAGAGCTGTTTGCTGAAACATTCCCTGCCCTCCAGCTTCCGGCCGGCCCACCACTGGGGACGCCTTCTCAGTGGGGCTGTGTGCAAGGCTTCATGGCTGGATGGCCAAGGGCAGTTCCAGAGGCCAGTCTCCTCCCCCATGTCCCTTTGGGTCACATTTGCTGGCTCTAATGACACACAATGTGGGCCCCTTCCTCCATGCAGACGTGGAGGGTCCTGCTGGTCTCTTTCTGCCCCGATCTCAGCAGCCCACAATGGCTAATCAAAGTCAATTCTTTTTATCACTAGGGCTGACGTCAGGGGGGAAATGTCCCTGCTGTGTCCCAGGATCCCAGTGCACGTGCATGCGTGTGTCTGTGTGAACATATGTGTGTGGGGAGAGGGGCGAGTCAGCTGAGCTCTAGCCAGGTAAGAAAACCAGCAGCCAGGAACTGACCACCACAAACTGGGGGGGTCCCACCCCACTTCCAGGCCCCCTGTCCTCTGGCAGCTCACAGAAGGAAAACTGCTTCCATATTTTGGAAGAGAATAAAATGAGGAAAGCCCACTTCCTCCCCCACCCCTCCACCCCAGGTCTTGTTTTGGCCTGAGAACATGGTTTAAATTATTCTAGTCACAGGCAGGCTATTCAAATAAAATAGAATTTCAAACCACACGGGGCTTGTTGAGACATTCAGGCTGCTCGGATGTGCGAAAGGCAGGGGGAGGGGTGGGGACAGGCCACTCCGCCGCGCTCTTTATTACTGGCAGCTGCGATGCCAGACACATCCGAGGGCGTCTCAAAGCCAAGGCGGACTCGTGCGGGTCTGACAGCCAGCGAGCACATGAAAGCCACCGCAAGGCTCCCCTCCCTGGTGGCAACTTTAATTATTTGAACTGGAGCTCAGCAAAATAAAAATAAAATAAAATAGAAATATATTGTAAGTGGCTCCCCAGTTTCCTGCAGAGAAGAGCCTGTGGCAGGGAGGAGAACCGAAAAAAGAAAACCAAACCCACAGGCTCTCTCTTGTTTGTGGCTGGGCTAGGCAGAAGTCGTTAAATATTCATGCCCCATGTGCAACTGTGCAGAGAGAGAGGCAGGAGGCAGCCCTGCAGCCGTGGTGGCCAGCACGAGCGGGCAGCGGTGGCTACAGGAGTCTGTGGGGAGGAGGTGGGAGCTGGCAGGCTTCTAGAATGCCCTGGAAGCTGGGTTGGCACAAAGGGGAGCCCTGGCTATGCCTCCATTATGGGTGGGCATCTGACCTGGTTCCATGTGCTCTCCCAGCCCCTTCCATCTGGTCTCTTCTGCCTCCATCCCACTCTATCATTTCTAACCCCTCTCTGACTCATCTTTCTAAAAGGCAAGTTATAACATGTTATTTGTGGCCACAGGTAGCAGAGAAACTCTCTCTGCATGGGCTCAGAATGAATTTTGGTCATGAGTGGCAAAGCACACCTATGGCCAAGAGCTCTGAAGTTTCAGTGTGCATCCAAATCACCGAGGGTAGGGTTGAAAATGCAGAGCCCCAGGCTCCACTTAGTGATGCCATTCAGTAGGTTGGGGGGAGGGAGGTGCCAAGAACCTGCATTTATTATGCTTCCCAGGTGACTGAAGTTGGAGAAATAGAGCTAGCAGTTTGTCCATTTCTAGATCATGAAGGAAATTCATTAAAGATGACACCAGTTCTCCTATGGGCACCCATTGATGACTGTGGGGTTTCTTAGGGAAATTGAGATATTCTTCAATTACTTTAACTCCCTGAAGACCAGGACTGAGCAGAGTGTAGAGAAGACAGTGGGCATTGACCCTGGAGCTCAGCTTGGCCAGATACCTACCCCTGAGGGCCTCACACTCATCAGGGACCTTCACCCACAGGTCCACCCAGTGTCTCCCTTGCTGCACTTGAGCCCCACAGCCAACGGAGGCCCCCGTAGGGTCACTGGGGTTTGAAAGTCCGAGTTAACTTCACACAGTCCTCCAGAACAATGCAAGATCTGTTTCTCTGCTACTGCAGTTCAGCCAACCTGGGAGGAGGAAATCAGCTTCCTGCCTTCTGCATTTAGGATTTGAATAAAATAAATGATGGGGCTTACAGACCTGGAAATGCATATTTCTAGTTTGGGTATTTATTTTTCTGATGAAAACATTTCTCCCAACATTGGGAATTCAAAGACCCATCAGCACTAGACGAATGGTTTGAAAACCTGAATGCGAAATAATGTGAATGTGAATATAAATATAAATAATGTGAATGTGGAATAGACTCACTCCCTTCCCTTCATCATGCCTGCTGAGCCAAGTTCTGGAAAAGGGCAGGGAATGGCAGAAATAGCCCAGAGCAAATAGACTGGAGGAAAAATAAAACAGGCCAGTAAAACAAAACACCTGTTTAAGCTATTGATCAACTCAAAGGTTATCAGAGAAATGATGAAGTATTAGAATAATAACATTTTTACCTTGACATTTCTTTTTCTGAAATTTGGCTCATATTAAATCAATGAAGAGTAAATTTAATGACCAGATGCTTTTAAGGAACCTCCTGTCCTCTTACGGGCCAACCCTCTGTCCTCATTTAGATTTTCCCTTAAGAAGCCTTCCTTTCTCGCTACCTGCTCCAAGGCACCTGAGAAATATCAGCAGTGACTGTGTAATTCCACCATCTGCATCAGATAGCACGGTTTCTCAAATACAATTTAATTTAATGAATCTATTTATTTGTGCCCAGACTGCTTCCAAAATGGATTTAAGGTAGCTCACAGAGTACATAAAATCAAGTAAGATAACATAAACTAGAAGAGAGCCAGAAAGATGGGGCAAACGTCACATTATAAAATCAAACTAGGAGTGATTGCTACCAATTGCACATCACAAAGTCCTATTTCCTTACTAGGTGGGGCCTCAGTTTTAATTTAACCATTCCTCTGATTCAAAAAGTCATTTACATGTCTTATTCGATTCTTATCTGTTTTATATGTCTGTGAGTTTTTATTTTCCAAGAAACCCGAAGGGCTTGCATGTGCCTGTGCTCCTTAGCAGGGGGATATGTTGTTTGTACCTCTGCTGGCCAAGGCTTCACCTCCCTGGGGTTTCTACCTGCCGAGGGAGGGGAAGTGAATCTGGTCAGTTTCACAACGTCCACAACTTGACAGGAAACAAATTGCTCAGAGGGCGCGTAGCTATTCCTGAAAGTAAGCCGGATCGGGATTTCTAAGCTATGCGTTGATTTTCTGCTATGTGCATGATGCTGATGCAGGTGCCATGAGAGAGTGTAAATAGCACGAGGCATGGCCTCATCTCTGAGAGCTCAGAGTCTGATTTCTGGCTCAAGTCCTCTTCTTCTTCCCCCATTCTCCTTTTGAATGTTTACACAGGGTGCTGGGCACTGTGTCTAACTATCACAGTCCTTATTTCTGCCAGACTCTCTCCTAAGCCCTTTGTGTATATGACCCATTTAATCTTCACCTCTTTGGGGTAGGTGCTTTGTGTGTCCATTTTCCAGGTGAGGAAATGAAGCCCTGAGAGGTTAATGAACTGCCCAACAAATTGTATAGCCAAGCAGTGGTGAAGCCTGGCTTGGACTCAGGCAGTCAATTCCAGAGTCTGTGAGCTTAATCACTGTGCCCTGTTGAAATCTTAAGCTCATGTCTTGGCCCCTGGAGAACATGACTATATGCTATGGAATATGGAGCCAGTCCCTCCATCCTGCCCACTAACAAGACAACAGCTTCAGGAACCATTAGGGCAAGTGGCTTTGGAGGTACTGCACTGAATGACATTGATATCTTAGTGAAATTTATGTAAATCAAATTTTTGAGGCTCTATAGTGTTTGAAATGTATTATAAGAGCTTGATATTTTTAAAAGGAATTCTGCAGAAAGTCTTTTGTAAATCCTATTACTCTCCCCTATTATGCCATGGGAAAGCTTTTCTGGGTTTGCTTAAATCAAGGTCCTACTGCAAACAGTTCGGGGAAGTTGAGTATGGGTGTTTAAGGTACAATGCTCTGCAGGTGGGACTCTACCACCGGATGTGCTCTGCCTAGAAGATGGCAAAGATGGCCCTCTTGTCCTCTCCCCAGGAGGACAACCAGCCCAGCCACCCAGGATACTTGCTTAACCTGTTTGAATTTATCTAAAGTGACACGAGGTGGCAGAGGTCAGAGAACTAGAGGAATATCGAGACTTGCCTCACATGGAGAGTTCTTCATTGGTGCGGGAAACGTAGCACTGGTCACCATAGCGCTTTCAGCAGTGGGGACATCAGTGGTGCTGAGCAATAGGGCACGGCCTGGGGGAGAGGAGAAGAGTCACAAATACACCATGGTCAGGAATTGAGGGGTCTCAGGGTACAGGGTTAATGGACTGGGCACAGCTCTTATCTAGACCAGGAGCATATTTGAGGACACTGGTTTCCAGTCTACTTGTCATTGTCAATAAAACCTGGCTCATGCAAAGGCCTTCATTCCAATTTGCCATATGTTTGGACTACCACATCCTTGACCTTCCAAGGTCATAAGCTTCAGCCTGCAGCCCAGGGCAGCCTGAAGCACACTCATGCCAATGCATTACCTTCCGATGGTTTCTATGACCTTCACTCTCTTCTTCTTTGTCTAGAGCCCAGGTCATCCAGGCCCCATGCCCTGCCTGGGGAGACTCACTTCCTGTGTTTCCTAAGCATCACTCTGCCTGAACACCTGGGAGAACAGGAGCCCCCAGCCCCATGTGGTGGCAGGAAGAAGCATCTGCAAATCTCTAGGAACTGTGGAACATTTTGTAGATGGTCAGTGCTACAGATATGGTGCCAGTGTGAGCTCTCAACATTTTAGGGGCCCACAGAAACCCAAGCATGACTTTAGTCTTTCATTTCTGTCTTTCTCTATCTCTTAGTAAAGTCTGATATTGAATTACTACCGAGTAACAAATTCAGGTGGGTCCAGAGCAGGATAGGACAGAGATCTTAGCAAGCATGAGGAGGCCCATCCTGTGACTGGGGTGAGAAAAGCCCCTATGGGTCACAGTTGTTGTCTTCAAATATCTGAAAGGCTGCCTTGGGGTGGTTCAGTTCTGTGGGTCCCCGGGAGATACAAATCATGATCTCTGAGTAGAACTGATGGAGAGGTGGAACTGCTGCCAGGTAAGAACAACTGGTCTGCAGTTCAGAGCTGTACATACAGCCTGGGCTGTGCTAGGAGGCAGTGAGAGAGAGGCCTGTCACTAGAGGTATTCAACAAGGGCTGGAGCTGGAGAGGGAAATTACCAAACTGGGAGCAGAGACATTAAGATCATGTCTCGGCCGGGCGCGGTGGCTCACGCCTGTAATCCTAGCACTCTGGGAGGCCGAGGCGGGCGGATTGCTCGAGGTTGGGAGTTCGAAACCATCCTGAGCGAGACCCCGTCTCTACTAAAAATAGAAAGAAATTAATTGACCAACTAAAAATATATATACAAAAAATTAGCCGGGCATGGTGGCGCATGCCTGTAGTCCCAGCTACTTGGGAGGCTGAGGCAGGAGGATCGCTTGAGCCCAGGAGTTTGAGGTTGCTGTGAGCTAGGCTGACGCCACGGCACTCACTCTAGCCTGGGCAACAAAAGTGAGACTCTGTCTCAAAAAAAAAAAAAAAAAAAAAAAAAAAGATCATGTCTCGCTCTGGAGCTTCATGTCTCTTCTCTGCTCCTTATACAGGCAGGGTGCTAAGGATGGTGTTGCAAAGTGAGGAGACCCAGGGGAGGATTAGGGCCCTGTGGGATCTCCACATCTGGTGAGGGGCCCTGCAGAGCGCTCCGTGGCTGCAGTGACTCAGCCGTCTTGCTGGTGAGGCCACTGTGAGCGTGTCCTGGCCCACAGCCAGCACGCTCAGATGCAGCTGGCTCCGAACACTGGCAGTGGGACTGCACATACCCCAGGGTCTTTCGCAGTTGGGCTGGATATTGTGCTCTCTCACGTTTATTATTATTATTATTTCTTAAAATAATCCATAGCATATGTGATCTTTGCTTGGAAAGAGAGGGCTTTTGGTATAAAGGTCTCTAGTTCCACACACAAAAAAAATGCAAATGCAGGGGAGGGAAGACAGAGAGAGACCTTCCTGCCCCACCAGCTCTGTCCTGCAGAGAGGCAGGCACCAGGGCCTGCTGGGCTAGCCACTGGGTACAGCCTATGGCCGGGCCACGGATGGCCTTGCAGATCCTCTCTGATCCCATACCCGGCCTGAGCTGGTGTCTCTGGGTGTGCAGTCAGCTTGCCCAGGTGTGGGTGGCCATCTCTTGGGCATGTGGAGGCCCTTTGCTCCCGCTGGGATGTGGGGAGGATGGCCCCAGCGAGGGGAGGACAGGCATTGCCAGCTCAAGTCGGCGGTGGGGTGGGGTGCTGAGGAGGCTGGGCTGCAAGGGATGAACCAGATGGGGCGAATGACACAGGTCTCCCTAGGCCTCAGGCCCTCCAGGCAGGAAGAGGGTTAAGGCTTCCCCCACCTCTCAATTAATTATGTGCCTGATACACAGAAGAACCTAAATACACACTGCTGAAAGAATAGATTAATCATTATTGTTGCTGTTATTTTTCAGTTTCATCAAGCTTCTCATTTCAAGTACTCAAAGGGGACATCTACCTTGGCTATTCTAAAGCCCAAGAAGGTGTGAGGAGGGCATGTATGAGCACCCCAGGCAGGATCTGGGCAGGTGGCTGAGCTTGTCCTGCAGGGTGGAGCCCAGGTCTCTTGTCTGTCTATTCAGGCATGGGATGGGCACTGGGGAAGGGAGGAGAGGGGCAGTACCTTGGTGGTCCTGAAACGGGGCATCCTTTGGGGTCCTGACCTGCCACTGCGGAGTGTGGGGTGAGAGAGTGCCTTGGGTCCAGCCGCAGAAGCCATCTTCGAAGTTGCAGTAAAAACCAGCAGGGAGTTTACCTGTAGAGACAGCACAGGGGCACAGTCATTTCCAGGAACGCTATAGGCAAAAATGTGCCAACATCAAGTCCAATTAGCCAGGCATGACCAAATTATCTTCATTAGTAACAGCGCCCCGGCCAGAACGCTTGATGTCTACTGACATTGATCACAGTGAAGAGAAGCTCCCAAGCCCTAACCTGTGGATATGCTGGTTTATGATTTTCTGGTCTTCAGAAAATTAAATAGTAATAGTAACAATTCCACAGCATGAGTACTGTTAACCCAGTTTTATGTATGACAAAGCAGAGGTTCAGAAATGTTAAGCCACTTGACCAAGGTCACACAGCTAACAGATAATCCATCTGGGACTCAAACCCAGATCTTGTGCTTCTAGATTTGGAGCTCTTTACACCGATCCTCCATGACTGTGTCTGTAGGAGAAGCCAATGTCTAATACACTAGAAGACATTTCCAATGGCGTACACAATGACAAGAGTAGACACAATGACGAGAGTATGGTGGTGGTGGTGGCGGTGTCAGCTGGGGGTTGGTTCGATCCTTCCCATCACCCTGTCTGCAGAGACACAATTGCTCAAAACCTCTTTACTCCCTGACCCCCTTGCAGTTGCGTGAAGCCCCGTGACACATGCTAGCCAACGAAACATGAGAGGAAGCGCTGTGTCTCATCTGGGTGGAGGCTGTGAAATGCCTTGTGCAAATCTGCAGTCTGTCTCTTTCTTTGCTGTAAGCGACCGAGGAGAGTTCTTGTTCCTGAGGGTGCCGCTCTGTTGATGGAGGAGCCTGTGCAGGCCTGGGCCCCTGAGTGACCCTGTGGAGCAGAGCTCCTGCCCACTCCCACCCCTCACTGGCCAGGTGCTATAAATGTCGTCCTAAGCCACTGAAATGTGCAGTTTATTGCTGCAGCATAACCTGGTTTCTCCTGATCAAACAATTCCAGTCACCGCAGCCTCTTTGTAGCATCTGTTGGCTCAGCATAAAGGGCCTGCAGTCCTCTTCTCTCCATCAGACTGCAGGTCCCACTGAGGAGCTCACATCAGCTTTCTAGACTGTATTTCCCAACTGCCCACAAAAGGAGGAGGACAGGAGAGGGCTAGAGAGAGCTCCCTTTCCTCTGGAATGGGCCCAGGCAAGGCTGTCGGTGAGGAATGAGAGGGCCCTTCCAGGACATTCTAACAGCACCCAGCAGCTCCAGGCCTTGCTACGGACAAGCCTATGTCTCCACGGGGGAGGAGAGACTCTCTCTAGCTGGACTGCACTCCAGGTCCTTCCTCTCCCTCAGTCTTCTTGGAAGCAGCAAGCTGACTGGCTGTGACAGCACCTTTGTGAATTATTACTCATTTCCCCCTCGATTCTCTGTGCATTTCACGTGGAGGCAGAATTATAAATTAAAAGAGGCTGTCACTGCCTTTGAGCATCTCTTCCCATTTATACCCCCCTGAAGAAATCATTTCCCCCCAAGCCTCACATGTTCCTCTGATTAAAACTCCCAAAGCTAAGGAGAACTTTCTATTTCATTCTTTATGCCCCCCTCAAGGGATCCCACATCCACTTCTTTTGCAGAAATCAACTGGTGGCTGGAAGTGACCTTCTCCTGGAGTGTCCTTCACAAGTGAGCTTTAAAAACCAAGGCCCAGATGGAAGATTCCAGCAGGAGGAAGGAGGAGGCAGGGCTACGATGCGGGCTGACAGCAGGTCACTTCCCCCTCACCCTTCCAGGAGGTGGAGGTGAGAACAGAGGACAGAGCCTGATTTGTGGGTGTTGACCCCACAACAGCCAAGGAATCTGGACAAGTGGGCTCCAGTCCTGGCCTCACCATTTCCTGCTGAGTGACCTTAGGCAAGTCCCTTCCTTCCTTACAGCCTCAGGTTCCTCCTCTGTAAAATAGGGTAATATGTCTATTTCACTGGGCTGGTTGGAGATAAAATAAGGCAGAGAGCGTGGAAACACTGTAAACAGCCAGCGTGGTGCAGACACAAATGGTGGTGGTGTTATTAATGCTCATTCGCACCCGAGCAGGGGGAGCCAGCTCATCAGGGCATGGGCTGGGACAGCTAGGAGGTCCCCAGCTGGCTGTCAGGAAGTGCCTGCCTGGGCTGCGCACCTGCTCGCTTTGCCCCTGCCTTCCCCCGGACAGGAACGAGGATCGCCATCAGCACCCTCCACCTCTGGAAGCCCAGCCTTGTCTCAGCTAGGCATAGGATCCAGGGCGAGCTGCAGCTGGAAACCCCATTTCTTTTTGGCTAATTGAAGAAAGGGGGAGGAGCCAGGCAAAATAGCAAGGCAGGTCAACATGCAATTTATGTGACAATGACAACCTTGGAGGGAGGAAGAGGTGCTGAGAGGGTTTCCACTGCCGTAAACTCATCAGAGCTTCTTGCTTAGACAGAAGCTGCTCTCAAGGAAGCTGGGGACCCTTCGGGGATCAGGCCGCATTTGGGAAATTGCTGCTAAGGCCAGCTGCTGAGCAAAAAGATTGGCCCACAGGGTTGGGTCTAATGGTGTCAACTTATCCTTTGATCATCCTTTTCTTTTTGCATTCATCCCAAGCACCTACTGAGTGCTTGGTACATTGTAGGACTACAATAACTATTTGCTAAACAAAATGGGAGTGGGTTCAATTCTCTAACCCTTTGCCACTCAAAATGTGGTCCAGGGACCAGCAGTATCCACGTCACTGTGGAGCTGTTGGAAGTGTGGACTCTTAGCCCCAACCCAGCCTACTGAGTCAGAATCTGCGTTTGTAAGCAGCTCTCCTGCTGGTTCCTTACTGTTTGAGAAGCACTGCCCTAACCAGCCCCCTTCTTGGGCGGGAGCCAGTTACTTCATGGGCTGGACGGCCAGATCAGGCTGTGTGTGGGTCAATCAATCCTGCAATATTTGGCAATTATGACACCTGATTCCACTCTAAGAGAGACAAATTGGTAGAGTCACAGAGTTGTGACCTCGGCAGCAGCTACAGGAGCTGCCAAGTGCAAACTCTGGGCCAAACGACACTACTTCTTTTCCTTCCTATGTGACAACTCTGTTAACATTTTTGATAAATATGTGTTATACATTTTCTTGAACATATAGAGTCATGGGAAAAATGCTAGAAGAAATACATCAAAATATTATGGTTATCTCTGAATGTCTGAGAGGGAGGATTATAGGCAATAGTTATTTTCTCTTGTGCACTTTTCAAGATTTTCCAAGTGTTTTACAACCACCATATTTTATTTTACTATAAATAAATAAACTTTTAAATAACTGGTCTTGCCTGGTAGGAAGAGTGTTCCCACAAAAAAGGCAAGATTATCAAGTCCATGGAGGGGTGCTGAGCTGCCTGCGATATCCAGTGAGCAATGGACCCATTCAGGGAGTGAAGTGGGGACACCTGGCCACCTTCTGGCGAGCCATATGTCATTGAGGACATTGGTGGGGACACACAGGGAATGCAGAAGACACCCTTCAATGTGTCACAGCATCTGGGATGTCTCACTCAGATTTGGCAATGTTTAATTGGAAACGCAGGGTATCTGTGTCAGAGAGGGAAGGAGAATGGCATGTTGGGGTGTGGCTTGGGGAGGGGATACAATGACAGATGGGTGCCATGATTGGATAGAGAAGGGCAGGGAATACCACCTCCACCTCAGGCCTTCCACTCATCCCACCCAACTCCTGGAGTATATAAGGGCTACAAAAAGGTCACTTATGTTGCACAGGGTGTGTCTGATAATCTCCATGTGGGAGATGCCTTCTGGGGAAGCTGTGGGGAGCTGGGGCTGGCCCTTAGGTGGGATGAGTCGACTAAATGCAACCTATTTTTTCTCTGTAAATTCCAACCATGGCAGGGTTTGGTCAACTACCCTGGCCCAAGATTAGTGACCCTCATGGGGGTTCTTTAGAGGACCTGGACATCCCCAGCACAGCTGCAGTGTGAACACCTGCACAGAGAAAACATTTTAACAGGTTCCTGACCACCTGGGAAAGGCCAAGTGTAGTCAAGAGCCACATCCTATGACATTGATGTTGATCCTGGAAATCATCCCCATGAAGACAACAACAACGATAACAACAACAATATTAATAGCACTGGCTAACATTTACTGAGCACTTATTATGTGCTGGAAGCTGCTCTAACACTTCCTGCTTGCTTCTCAGACATCAGGGTGGGCAGGCATCATGTCACAGATGAAGAAACTGAGAGTCAAATGGGGAGGCCAATGATCTTACCCCACCACCAAAGGCGGTAACGGAGCCCTGGGCCTCCCTGACTTTTCTTGGCAGGGGTGTTGAAGGGAAATGGGGAGAGATGCTGGGGGTTCCCTTTTGGGGTGATAAAAATGTTCTAAAATTAGACTGTGTGATGGCTGAAAACCCTATGACTATACTAAAAACACTGAATTGTACACTGTAAGTGGGCGAATTGTATGTTATATGAGTTATATCTCAAACAAAGCAATTAGTAAAAACTAAAGGAAGTGATGCTGTTTGGATGGATATATTAGTGTGGCAGAAGGGTCCAGAGGAAGAAGAACCAACTGTACTTGCAGGGGAGGGTCAGGGGAGGCTTTCTGGAAGAATTGAGTTGAGGTGAGTCTTGCAGGAAGAGCTGTGACTTGAGAAAGGACAGGGCATGCTGGGCAGAGGAGACCACGCGGGCAAAGCCACGGAGGCACGAGGGAGCTGCGAGGTGGCTTCCTCTGGCTGGAGCTGGGGGTGCAAGGAAGGTGGGGGATGAAATTCTGGGTGCACAGGGCCTCCAATGCCAGCTCACAGAGCTGGGCTTTATCCTGCACAAATGTCTCTGTGCCTTCAGAATGCCCAGAGCACAACTTACAAGATCTTATTTGGCTCTTAACTTATATGACCACAGAACATGGAGGACTGGGCTGTTTCTAGACCACAAATCCTAGCTCGGCCTCTTGCAGACCATGTGGCTCTGCCATGAGAGGAGTCACACGTATCACTGGCTGTCAGGACGGCTGTCCAAGCTCACTTGTCTGGGGAGACAGGGGCATGAATGTGGGCGTGGGCTGGGCTGGGCAGGGTGGGGGCGGCCCCATCTACTCACGGCATAGCTGGCCCTCGTCTTCTCCCTGGGCGCAGTCCTGGTGGAAGTCACAGGCCTGGCCGAGCTGAAGGACTGTCCCATTCCAACAAGTGAAGGAGCTCTGCAGGGCCATCTTGGAGCCCGGGGTTGTTCCTGGAGATCACACAGACACACCACAGTCAGTTTGGGTGGTCCCAGGCACCAGCTGGCCTGAGGGGTGGCCCCTGGGCAGATTGCACAGACAGAATTATCCCATTATCCTGCCCTGCTGTTCACATCCCAAGGCCTGACTGAGACACCCACATCCCAATCGGTCCGCTCCCGGTGCCAACACTCGCCGGGTGAGAGGAAGTCAAAGCTCATCTCAGTCTTTAATTCATGTGGTACACCCCATGTTCCACTGCTGGACATCCTGCTGTCTATCCAAGTCCAGCTCACAGACACTGCCTGTGACAGTCTTCACAGCTTTCTCCCACGCTCGTTTGGCCTTGGTTCCGTGAAACCTGTCTCTAGAACACGTGTGCATGTTCCCATCTTCTCCATCACGTGGTCTGAGGCTCTGGACGCTCCTCCTGCCCCAGCTAGTGCCTGGTCCCTAGGGACTCACGGACAGCCTGCGTGTTAGGTCATCCATCTGTGGTAGGCTGATTAATGGGCCCCAAATAGCCACATCCATGTCCCTGGGTCCTGCGACTATGCTGCCCATGTGGTAAAAGGGGCTTTGTGACAAGCTAAGGGTGTTTAGCTGGAGAGATGACCTTGGATTACCTGGCCAGGGGGAGGGCAATGTGATCACAAGGGTCCCCACAAGAGGGAGGCAGGAGAGTGAAAGTGACGGGGGGGGAGGGGATGTGAGGGCGGAAGCAGGAGTTTGGGGCAAGGGGAGGAAGAGGTCGCTAGCCCAAAGGAGCAGGCAGCCTTCAGAAGCTGGAGAAGGCAAGGATACGGATCCTCCCTCAGAGCCCCCAGAAGGAACCTGCCCTGCCAGACAGCGTGGCTTCAGTCCACGACACCTACTGCAGACCTTTGCCCCCCAGAACCGTAAGAGAATAAATCCGTGTTGTTTGAAGCCCTTGCGTTTGTGGCAGCTGTTGCAGCAGCAATGGGAAATGAATACACCACCTAAACCCGACTCCCACTGAGCTCACAGACTAAGCTGGCAGAGGCTCTGGTCACCTGAAGCCAGCATAGCTTTAATTCTGTGTCTTGCTTTCATGATTAGGTCTTTGTGGTTTTCTGGACTAGTCACCTCTACCCCTTTCTTCTCACAGAGAATGAAAAACGTCACTTCCATCTGTCCCTGTGCCCAAGACAAGGTTTCCCCCAAATACTTATGGATTGAAAACTCCTCCTCCCCCTACGCTCCCCCAATTCTAAATACGGTTGACCCTCGAACACTGCAGTCTTGAACTGCACGGGTCTGCTTAGATGCAGAGTTTTTTTTTTAAGTGAAGGCAGATTGGGAACAGCAGTGGCGGGCTGCAGAGTCCGTGTACGTGGAGGGCCGACCTTTTGCACACGTGGGGTCTGCAGGGTGGACTGCAGGACTTGAGCATGCGAGGATTTTGGTATGCCCTGGGGGGCAGGGTGTGGACCAATGCCCTGGGTATGCGGAAGGATTGAGACAAACAGGATCAAAATACCAAAAGAATGGCAGAAAGAGATATAATGCTCATTTTAAAAGGCAAAATGTCAAATTGGCTTTGCAGCCTTAATGCTGTGTGTCAATTCTCCGCTTTCATTTGTGTGTTCTTGGAAGCTGGGAGGTACGATACTGTCCCAACAAACTGGTGCTAGCCCAGCGGAAGGTGCCAGTACAGGTCGGGGAGGAGATGCCCTTGCCTGGGGCACTGACTGGGGGTGCTTTGCAGGGGTGGGGGTGGGAGGGAGGTGAGGGTGGTGGCCGCAGGCTGTGTCCCAGGGACCAAGAGCACAGCAGGTGCTGCACCTCCCTGCTCACTAAACTTGTGACAAGGACAGGGTGAGTTTGTCATTTCCACTCAGTAGAAAGAAATGGAGAAGCCCAGTGACATTGCCTGTCTTCTCTGTCCCTCTTTCAGGGCACAGGGACTTAGGATAATAAGAAAAATTCTTTACATTTGCTTGGTGACTTCCTTTCCAAAACATTTCTTCTTGTGCCTTATCATAGGAGACCATTAAATACAGTTAGGACCTTATTACACAAAGCCCCAGCCCCACCACAGGGAATGCGAGCAAACGCAACCTACCGAACAAACCTAAGCTCTGTGGTGGTGTTTTAGCCACACCTTGTGTCCCATGGCGCCTCTCCATGAACACGAGAGTGTCACACCAATTACTTGTCATTCCCCAAATAGATCTTACTGCTCCTTTTACTTTCCTTCATTCTAAAAATATAAGTCAATTGTCTAAAGTTCAAAAGCAGGGTGAAAAGAAACAAAAATAACTCCAGAAGAACCCCATCACCTAGAGGCCACCACTTTTAACATCTTGGTAAATTTCTTTTTAGTTTAGTTTTTTTCCACCTATGCTTTAAAAGTGTGTATAGTTGTGTCATATGAATATAGGCCTTCAAATAATTAAGGTTGTATCACAAGCTTTTCCAAGGGCTTTAGAAAGTACCCATAAAAATACTTTTTAATGGCTACAATACTGTGTGATATGTTCCATCATTTATTTAAACATTATTCAATGATTGGACTGCTATTCCTTTTTATAATAACGCATGAGGAATATCTTTGAGCATAAACCTTTGCCTGCTTTTCAGATTATTTTCTTAGGATAGATTCCCAGAAGTGGAATTACCGAATAAAAAGGTATAAACATTTTAAAGGCGTTTGATACACATTGCCAAATTGCTTTCTAGAAGTTAATCCAATTTATGCTCTTCACCAGCTGTGTTCATACAGGCACGTCCCTCATGCTGCATCCTGGCCAGCCCTGAGTATTATCATAATTCTTACTTTTTAACTAAAGGTATCTCCCTGCTGTTTTATTTTGGATTTCTTTGATAGAGAGATTGAATTTTTTTTTTTTTTTTTATGTTACCAGCATTTTTTTTCAACTTTGGTTTTTAGGGAATTGCCCACTTCCTCATGTCAATTTATCTATTAGTTTCTTCAAGTTTCCATACTGAGTTGTATGGACTCATAAATAAGGATGCGAAACTATTTGTTTCACGTTTGACAATTTCCCCCAGTGTTTTGTGCATATTTTCATTCTGTTTATAATGTATTTACATAAACATTTAAAAATTTTATGTAATACAAGCCTATTCATATTTTCCTTGGTGATTTCTTCTTTTTTATCGATGCCTAGAGAGTTTGTTCCATGTGGGATCAGTAGGTAACGTGCAGGTCACACTTTGGTCTTTGGGTTGCCCTCTCCTCTGGGGGTGCCTCCTACCAACTCTTCACCTTTCAGCACTGGGGGTCTCGATCGTACCCCCTCACTGTGCCATTGTCATGGGTTCTCCCCCTTCATGAATGAATGGTCCTTTCACTGAGGGACATTACTTCTTGCACATAATGTGGCAGGCATTCTGCCTTATTAATATTATTCCGAGCTGCTTGTATGCCTGCCTTTCTCACCAAGCTGTAAGTGAATTGAAATAAGTGACTTGAACTGTAAGTATCAAGTCTTAACCTTCAAGAGCCTACAATGGTGCCTGATATATAGATTCCCACATCTTAATATTTGAAAATTGAATTGATCCTGTGTATTAGCTGAGGAAGGTATCATTCTGCCCGTTTTATAGTTGAGAATACCAAGGCTCAGAGTGGCTACGTGGCTTGCTGAGGGATTGGTGGGAACCCATATTTTTGGATCCCTTGTTCTCTATCCTTTGTGCTGTGTCTGTCTGTTGGGGTCATTCTAGAGACAGGCATCCTCAGGAGTGGTGATGGTGGGTGTGGAAGGGCAGGAAGTTGGCATCCCTGCCCTTCACTTTGACAAAGGAGGGGGTTCAGGAATGGGGGCAGTGCCGCTTCCACCTGGGTTCCCTGGGTTTTATCCCCAGCCTTCTCTGAAGCACAGCATAGCCCAGAGAAGCGGCTCCTTCGGCTCTGCTTCTACCAACTCCTCCCATCTCCCCCAGTGGGAGACTTCCAGGCTCCCTGGCACAGCCTCCTCCATCCCACAGGGATGTGGGAGCTTTGTGCTTACGAGAGATTCAATTAGATGGATGCCTGGTACTCTGATCTCTCCTGCCAGCCCAAACTCAAAACTAATGAGGCACAACCAAAAACAACCACTCTGTCTTCTCAAGTTCTGTTTTTATGGGGCCCATAAATTCCAAGGAGGAAAGTACCCTTGGTGAATGGTTTTAATCAAGGGCCTGAGTTTCCTAAAGAGTATCTTCTCTGTAGTTATAAAATGATCGTTCTGGCCTATGGAGTAGGGTACCCTGGGGACCCAAATGGTCATAGCCTGTCTCCAGACCAGTGAGGAAGGGGCAGGGGCTTGACATGAGAGCCAGATCCTGTTTCCTGCTGATACATCTGATGCCTTCTTCCTGTGGGTATTGGTGATTCCTGGTAACCACTGAAATGCACAAATGCCCTAATCAAGAAAGGTAAGGGAGATCTGAGATCAAGCCAATCTGGGAAGAGTCGGCACTTGTGGATCTTTCATTAGTAAGGGTCTTCTCTATGGGAATTTACTTATTAGCTTTTGAAACACTAGTTTCTCCCGGACTAACGATATAAGTTGCTGGGGGTAGTCAATTGTCATCATTCCTTGCCTCTGCATAGCATTTGTATAGCTTACAATGTGTTCTCTTAATCCTTCTTTGTTTGAATCTCATAAAGAACTGGCAGAACAGTGATTACTGTTCCCATTCAACTAATCAGAAGGCTGAGGATTTGAGAGGCTAAAAATGTCTAGAGAAATGCTTTTTTCAACAGTAAAGCACTACAGAACGTAGCCAGTTACTTACTGGGTGCTTTGCCGGTGGTCTCACAGCTGGTAAACCACAGGCGAGGGCCCAGGACCTGGTCAGATTATCTTAGGTCGAGTTCCTCTCCCACAGCTCAGGTTAAATTGTCTTGCGGGAGCAGAGCCTTGACTGTTCCAGGGGTTACGTGGGAAGTGAGAAGCACTGTGTATGTTCAGGCTCCATTTCAACCAACGAAATCAGTATCTGGAGGAGAGAGCCTTGGCACTGGTGGTTTTTA